CGGCACAAATCCAAATATTCCATAATATTTCCATATTTGCGATGTAACGTATCTGAATGCTAAACTATTATTTGTCAGGTAAATTATAGGCTTTGTACTTCAGTCGCTTTCCAACGGTGACACAGAGGCGGGTGCGCTGATATTTGGTTCACTGTATTTTATTTTGATAAAGTACCAACTGCGCTGTCAAGTTAGCAATGCTGGAACTGATGTGTTTTGTGTGTGTGTGTGCGTGTGTGCGTGCGTGCCGGCACGATCACTTCAACTGTTTCCTTATACCAGCAGAATCAACTTTAAACACTTATTGTCTTATTAATAATGCATCACTGTATAAAGGTCTGCTTTTATTTGTGTACACTCACAATGAAAACAAAACATTGTGCTTTTATAAAATAAAGATATAATAATAATTATGTTAATTTTAATTTATTTTATATTCATTATTTTATATAGCTTTATTTGATTTAAAATAAATTAATAAAATTAAAATAATGTATTTTATTTAAAATAATCTAAAGGATTTATTTTTTTAATAAAATAAATGTAAAAAAATATTCAACCAATAAATATATTTTAGCAAAAAATATATATTTTTTTTCTACACTGCTTTATTGATACAGAAGCACATTCATCCTTGCTCTACTCTTCATGTGATTTGTGTTACAGAGAAAGATTGCCAACAGTAAAAATGATGTGTATTGAAACTATCTTCACTTGAAATGTCATCTCTTAATATTTGAGATGAGATTGGTGTGATGTGCCATTGGGTAGCGGTCTTGCCCTCAGAGACGCAACTCTAGGAGTCAAAGGAGGAAGAGGACAAACCTTCTCTCTCTCTCTCTCTCTCTCTCTCTCTCTTTGTCTCTCTCTGCGGTCCAGTTTTTCCTATTCCTGTTCACTCATATTGGGTTGACATTCTTTAGATTATCACTCTCTCTATCTCTCTCTGTCATCCCAGTATGTGTGTTTATAGGGCTTTAGAATCTTGTTTACATAGTGTTTTGCTGCTTGTCTTATGTAACTCCGATATACAGTAATTAGATTTTTAACTTCTGCTTTGGTCTGTCCTCATCTGATTTAGGACACCTAACATCACACAAAAATCAGCTGCTTCCTTTTTAAGTCTAATTTCTTATTTTAAAGTCATTAATTTTTAGTTCATATATTTTCTGTGTTGGAAAGTAAGCAAAACAGTTGTCTAAGTTAATTGTGTGGTGGGAATTTGTACTCTGTCTCAGCGAATGAAGTGTCCTGCAGACGTGGGGTTAACGCCACCCCTCTAAACACACCACTGCATTAATCCAAGTCAGAGACCTGTTCAACACATTGATTTCCCCCAGGATCAGCCTTCGTCAGGTGAAAGGTGCTCACGCAGGAATGTGGTTTCGCTGCTTTAACTGCATTTTTAAACCAACTTAATATAACCCAGTGACCTCTCTAGGACTTTAGGTTTTAAATATCTGAACATTTAAATGGGTCATATTGTCCCAATTGTTGCATTTTATTTGTTCTTGTAACAAAAACATCATAATTGAGGTTTAGATGACTATTTTGACCCTCACTCTGACTCTTAGAATTGAACAGTTTTTGCTACTGTGCCTGTAATAATTTATGTAAGTGACCACTAGTTATGTTTCCATCCACCTATTTTTATGTGCATTTTGGGATATCACATAGAAAAAAACACTGTTTGGAAATGGCAAGTAATTTATAAAAAGGCGCAAGTAATTTATACATACGAAAAAAGACCCACAGTGGCTTCTCCTACTGCAGCAATATTTTATGCAATATACGCATAAGTTAAATTCGCAACTTTAATGGAAACATAGCTACTGTTTTTCATTTATTTTATCCTTATCCTTATGATTAGGTTGAACAATTGGAAAGATCTTGGAAAATGTTAAGGAAATTCATTGGTCAAAATGTGGGACAGCCCCGAACCCTGCTGAATATTCAGTTTCACTCAGTAGTGCGTCATATTATAGGAAATAGATGCACTGTGACTGTTATTTCATGTCATTTTTTATCTCTCTTTCTACTCCGTTATAGGTACATTGGCTTGTATTGCATCATTATAGTTGAATTATTATAATTAACTACATTTTAAAATGTTCTGAAGAAAATTTGACTGCAGCTTGACTGTCTGTCATCTTACATGCAAAATTGTCCGATCACTTAGAAAAGTATCAGCACACCTTATTCACCTCATTAGGGGTTTGTTTGTTAAAGCACTGCTTTATATAAGATTGGAAGCGATCCATGTTGTCTGTCTGTAGTTTGATGTCAAGTGTTTTTATAGGAGCCTCATCATGACCCTGAGGGTTCAGGTATCTCATATATCTATTTATGTAAGACAGTGTGGCACACAAGCAGGCGTGAGGTCGGGTGTGTCCGGAAACAGCAGCATATAGTGTGAATGAGTTGTGTATCTGTGGTGTGCTATTACAGCTCATCAAGATGAGTATAAAACCACTTTGACACTCATATTGCTGTGGTATAATCAGACAATATCAGTGAATGCTGATACGCCTGCTCCTCTATTATACAGACACAAAGGTTTCTTCAAGCACGTCTTCGCAGCTGTCCTAAGGCTGCTGTCCTCTCGTCCCAGATACATCCTGCTCGGCCAGCTCAAATATCAGCCTCTGTTGCAGGTTACAAGTTTAATGTTGCCACACAGAGCTGCTCGTTTTTTCACACAACAGAAATGGTACAGATGTTAGCCTCCTGCTAGATTTAATCGCAAACCGCAGATGGGGAAGAGATGAACTTTCGCAGCAGGCTGAATGTGAATCTGAAAGATGTAGATGCTCTTTAAAAGTGCATATACTTACTTGTAGGGGAATGTGTAATGAAATAAGAAAATAACGTGGACCGAAACAGCATGCACTGATTGTTATATTCTTTTTCTTCTTTCAGGACTTAGAGTTCCATGGCGTGATGCGCTTTTACTTCCAGGATCGAATGGCGGGGAACTTCGCCACAAAGTGTATCCGAGTGTCCAGCACGGCGACCACGCAGGATGTGATCGAGACGCTGGCGGAAAAGTTCAGACCGGATATGAGGATGCTGTCTTCTCCCAAATACTCTCTCTATGAGGTCCATGTCAGTGGCGGTGAGTCATAGGAATACAAAAAAAATCATAAAATGCAGTTTTGTGACTTTTTACTACTAATAAAATTAATTTGTCACAAAACATACACCATTCAAAAGTTTGGGGTTGGTAAGATTTTTTTAATGTTTTTGAAAGAAGTCTGATGTTCACCAAGAATACATTTATTTGATTAAAAATACAGTAAAAACTGTAATATTGTGAAATATTATTACAATTTAAAATAACTGTTTTCTATTTCATTACATTTTAAAATGTAATTTACTCCTGTAATGCAAAGCTGAATTTTCAGCATCATTACTCCAGTCTTCAGTGTCACATGATCCTTCAGAAATCATATTAATATGCTGATTTGCTGCTCTTATTATTATCAGTGTTAAAAATTTTATATTTTTTGTGGAGACTGATGCATTTTTTTATAAGAACAGCGCTTATTTTAAATTAGAAATTTTGTGTAACATTTTTATGTCCTTACTGTCACTTTTGATCTATTTAATGCTCCCTTGCTGAATAAAAGTATTAATTTCTTGTTGAATGGTAGTGTACAATATGCAAATGCATACATGCTTACACTTAGCGACACAACTCAGTTTCACATTGTTGCATTTGGGAAAAGTCAAAATGCAGTTCATAATGCGACATCGCATGTAGCTGCATACTTCCAGAGTTTGTTTCTGGCCCTAATATTTTAGTTTAAACCTTCTGCAAGTTTCCAATGGACAAAAATATCTGTAGTTTGTAAAAAAAAACATAAATAAAACAAAATTGACATATTGGTTCTTATGAAACACGAGCAGAACAAATTTCTGTAAAAGATTTTAAACCCCTTTCTTTGAGTAAATATCACATTGAATTAAAGGGTTAGTTCACCCAAAAATTCTGTCATTAATTACTCACCTTCATGACATTCCAAACCCATAAGACCTTCATTCATCTTCAGAACACAAATTAAGATGAAGAAATCCGAGAGCTTTCTGACCCTGCTCAAAAATTATTCTCGTAGCTTCATAACATTACGGTTGAACCACTGATGTCACATGGACTATTTTATCAATATCCTTACTACCTTACTGGGCTATAAAACGTTTCAGTTGCGTTGCTGTCTATGTAGGGTCAGAAAGCTCTCAGATTTCATCAAAAATATCTTAATTTTTGTTCTGAAGATGAACGAAGGTCTTACGGGTTTGGAACGACATGAGGGTATTAATGACAGAATTTTCGGGTGAACTATCCCTTTAAATGCAATAATTTAGAAAAGAATGGGTTTTTGAAATTTCTTGTGTTTTGATTCATGAATGAGACCCATTAGGACTGTAGCCTTATTTTCGTTTAGTGTACTTTGATTAAAGTCCATAGAGAGGTGATTTTCTGACTGGCATAATCTTTCTCTGTGACAGAAGAGAGGAAACTGGACTTGGATGAGAAACCACTGGTCGTACAGCTGAACTGGAACAAAGACGACAGAGAGGGCCGCTTCGTTCTCAAGAACGAGAACGACATCATGCCCAAGGTGAGAAAAGGTGGCCGAGACCAAGACCAAAAGTTAGAAAACAAACCCAACTTGTTTCACAGAGCCTGATTCTGTGGTTTGTTCTGCTTGAATGCAGGAGCTATAGTTTTACGATGATTCACCGAGGATGTCTGTTTGTGTTCTTGTTGAGTTTTCTGCTCTTAGTTATGATGGAACAGCATTTTTAGTCCCCTGCTGTTCAGACAGCCCCTGAAACCATCTTCTCTCATTGCACGTCAGTTAAAAACCCTCTCAGGAAATAAAAACACACAGGCATCAGCAGACACTTCATTTCCTCACTTAAGTGAGGCAGGTCCATTTTTTTTTCTTTCTTCGTTTTGCTCCGTCTATCTCTCTCTCTCTCTCTCCACTTCGGTGGCTCTTAGTGTTGTGTGCAGCAAGGCTCCCCAAAGAGACATAAAATCAGAGCTAGCAGTGTCTGAGTCTGCAGGAATGTGTGTTTGGGTGTGTGGGCGGTAGATCCCAACAATTTCTGCATTTTAGGCTGTTTTCACACTTGGTTCGATCGTTCGGCCCGTACCAAAGTTTGATTCCTCCCTTCGAACCGCGATATGTTTCAGTCAACAATGTAAATACTAATGGCAGCTGTTTAACACTATAACTTGGTATCATCTCAGGATAAGACGCCAGTGTCACTATTTTATTCATGTTTTTGTCACCTTAGATTTGTCACAAAACTTCACACACAGAACAGCACTTGCATTTGTCTGCTGCAGATACAGTACATTGCAAGAGATGTGAAGAATGAAAGCTGAACTTTATTTGAATATAAGCAACTGTGAGAAAGCATTTTGAACGCATTTCACCTTATTTTTAATGTAAGGCATGCAGCCATTTGTAACTTGACTGTATAAGGCTTCTGCCGTCATTCACTTCCAGTAATTTAAGCTGTACAAAAATGGTCCATTTTGCTGCTTATTATTAGAAACTAGTGTGTAACACGAATAGGCATGGGCCGGTATGAGATTCTGACGGTATGATAACCTTAGATAAAAATATCACAGTTTCACGGTATCACGGTATTGCGATTACAGCCCTAAAATATGTTATTTTTAAATGTCTGGGTAAAAAAAACAACTTTTTTTTCTACTGAACACATTTTATTTTTAAGAAACATATTGAACATTTTGGAACAGCAAAAATGTCAGGCTAAATAATTAGAATAAATAATTAAATTCTTCTTAATTAAATGCAGTCACTTAAGTGAGCCTAAACCTGCAGCTCAACAATAATCAGAACGTAAATAAATTATTTTCTGTAAAAAAAAAAAATCCCTATAAATGAAAAAAAAAATGCAGTCACTTAAGTGAGCCTAAACCTGCAGCTCAACAATAATCAGAACGTAAATAAATTATTTTCTGTAAAAAAAAAAAATCCCTATAAATGAAAAAAAAAATGCAGTCACTTAAGTGAGCCTAAACCTGCAGCTCAATAATCAAAAATATAATCAAAACATAATTTCTGTAAAAAACCGTGACTTTTCCAAACCGTGGTATACCTTGAAACCGGTTATCCTCCCATGCCTAAACACGAATACTTTTACCGTTTACTGCACTGTTATTCTTCTAGTCATTTAACTAATGAATCAGAAGTCTCACACATTTACAAAAAATAGCTAGCTTCTACGTTGCACAAAAAAGTGTAAGAGTGTGATCATGAGCATGCAAATAGCGATTCATGTCCGGATTGCTTTTATTTCAACTCTGAACTGAAAACGTTCTAAAAATCTGCTGCTCTCCGCTTAACCATTCGATGATATGGAGTTGAAGTGATGTTGTGACATCTGTCTGGCGCTCTTTTGTAGAGTAACTTGTTCAGCATGCTTGAATTTGAACTCTGCAGGCCTTGCTTTGGCTCTTACTATTCACTCATAACGCAATATTTTGAAATCTCCCTGTAAATTTTTGGAGTGTTTCCTATGATGTATTGCAAAATCACAACTGTATCAAGACCTGAAATCAACAGAAACACATTGTTCCACTTAATTTAACATTAACCTTTCACCACTTTAATGTATAATAGGTAATAATGCAATGAATTTTTCAAAAATAATTTAAATAAATATTAATTAAAAATGTAGGAAGCTTAAAAATATTGTTAAATAGACATAAAAGGAGATGCTAAGAATTTTCTGAATTAATTCAAATCTTCTGAATCATAACCTACTCTACCTGATATCCCACTGCAATTTTTCTCAACATTTTTCGCTTTAATTTTCCTCTTGATCTCTCCACCAGAAATCACTGACAAATGGCCCTGAGAAAGAGAAGGAGGGGGTGATCCAGAACTTCAAAAGAACACTGTCCAAGAAGGAGAAGAAGAAAGAGAAGAAGAGGGAGAAGGAGGCCTTTTCCAGAATTCCAGATGGAGACGATCACACACTGAACCGCGAGGATGGGTGAGGAGTATCAACCGATTCGCCTTGTATCATAGACATGCACATAAAGGCAATAGTCGATTAAAAGGGTTTTTAGTAAGAAACCGTTTAAGAGCATCTTTAAAACTAAATCCATTCAGCTGTTTGATTTCTCTTGTCCTAATCATTTGTGAAAAGACATTTTTGGTTTCTCTTTCTGTGCTACAGTAGGTAGGCTTAATTGACTTACTTTTTTTTTATCACTCTTGTTTTCCCTCTTCCTGATAGAGAGAACTCTAGGTTGGCTGCTGAGGTATATAAAGACATGCCAGAGACCAGTTTCACACGGACCATTTCTAACCCCGAGGTGGTGATGAAGAGGAGACGACAGCAGAAGCTGGAGAAGAGGATGCAAGAATTCCGCAGTGGAGACGGTCGACCGGACTCAGGTTTGTAAACCACTACTACGTCAACATAATCTACACTGACACACAACTTCCCTATTTGCGTATCAACTAAGTGATTATTCAGCAGGAGGCCTTGTTATTCATTTCACATGCAAAGAGGCTAACCAATCATGACAGAGCGCTTTTGCATATTAAAGTCGCACGACCATATATGGAAGCTAAGCTACAAAAGTAGTTCATTCAGAATGTGATATTTTTCCTGAGGACAGACATGAGTATATTAACATTACCGTGCACATTTAGTGTTGGTGCATTATAAGAATTACATTTATGGTCATTGAGCTTTTCTGGAAGATTTATTGCTCTATATTTGTATCTAGACACTGTTTGGTCCAAAAAATGGCTTTGCATTTGTTTTTCCATGTAAAATAGGCTATGATGTCAGCAGTTTGTCTCCATGGGACACATGTAATTATACAATGAGAGCACTAAACCAGTGCCCTGGCATCTCCATTGCACTTGTTGGGACCTCTTGCCAATGAACCACCTACTTTCAAGTGGGAAACCATTCCAGACCACAACATAAAACTTTATTCTGTAGCTCTGTTCACACTGACACCTAAAATAGCCTTTCTGTCCTGGACAGACATGGATATTTCGATTTTCCAGGCTTATGTAATCAGGATAATAACGTATGTCTGCTGCTGAGGGTTTAGACCAGAGGCAAATCCTTAATGTGACACGCATAGAAAGGCTCCCAGTTACTCATCACATTCACCTCGTCCGGCAAGAGTTAAGCAGTGTGTGAACTGGTTAAAGAGGCTTAGTCGTGCACGCGGCTGGGCTTAGATCCCAGTGTTGGGGATGTTTGCGTTCTCACGCTGTGTCTGCTTCCATACTAATAGAAGAATCCTTCAACCTACATTGGACACAACCGAAATCCAGAACATAGGATGGTGTTTTAAAAGCAGTGTTTTCTGTGCTAATGCTGTTACCCTAAATCTCCATTATTCATTGACTTAGGCCATCAGTAGGTTTTGAAGCTGATGCAAGGGTTTTGAAATGCCAAGTATTGGCCAATTAAATGGCCTTACCATTATATTGGCCTGCCAGGTAGACAGGCAGGGAGTCAATGGGCATGATTATCAGCCAATTCTGATCATCTCGGAAAGCCTAGTATCCACTGATTAATTGGCCTCTCTGATGTATCGATCTACCGCTAATCTGCACTATTAGTTCTTAATTCTCTTGTATTATCAGACAGTTCTGATAATCTGGAAAAGCCAGGTATCATCTGATTAATTGGCCTCGCCAATATATCGGTCTGCCACTAAGTTACACTATTAGTTCTTAATTATCTTTGACACAATCTCTCTCTTTTAGGAGGGACTCTGAGGATCTATGCCGATAGTCTGAAGCCAAACATTCCCTACAAGACCATCCTGCTCTCAACTACTGATATGGCTGACTTTGCTGTGGCCGAGGCTCTGGAGAAATACGGTCTGGAGAAGGAAAATCCCAGAGATTACTGCATCGCCCAGGTGAGGTTTAATGCAGTGTTAGCTTTCTAATGCTTTCAGAGAGTTGTACTTCCCTAAAATTTGGAGGTGCAGCTCTGTCAGACAGTGTTTTTAAAATCTGCAGGATGGATTTTAACATGGCAGAATGAAGGAATGGACAATATTTTGATACTGTGTCATGGAGTTTTAATTGTGCATGCTCATTTCCACTATTTTTACATTAGATTACATCATCTAATGGTGACTAAAAGTTAATCTTTAAAAACATAATGAAGCTTAAATTCACTTTAAAATTTAAAATAATCATTAATCATTGATCTTCCAATTCTGTGGAAATCTGCGAAAGTTTCTTTATAATTCTGTGCCTTTTACATGCCATGTGGGTCTGCTGTAAAGTTATTAAGCTGATTGAACGTCCCTGCCTTGTCCGGCTCTCTTTGTGGACCTCTCCTCCTCCTCCTCCTGTGATCAAATCCAGCATATTTCATCAGGCCACTGCACGATTTGTCTTCCAGATTAAAGCCAGGAGCTGACATCTGCTTCACCTCTGCTGAGAGTAATTGAATTGTGTTGTAAGGTGCCACGTCTGGACATGTTTAGCACTGCACAGAGTGAAAGATGGAGATATGCGTGGGGATGAGGAGGAAGTGTAGAGGAGGAGAGCAGGAAGTGCTTGAAGTGGCAAGTCTAATCTCTGCTGTCAGCGAATGAGAAACATTGCCGATACAAAAGTGTCAACCTTGGCCTGTCTGCGCTGTTGCTCACCAGCTCTTCTCAGCCAATCACACTGAGAGTTTTTGTGTGGCATTGTAATATCCTCTCCCATCACTCTGGCCAATTTTAATTACTTACACAGCTTGTCCATAAAGCTGCTGTTAAATTGTGGCAGGGAGCGTGTATCTGTCACTAAAACAGGTGTTTAATGCCTGCCTGGAGTGCGCACTGTGAAATATTAGCATGCTTCGCCAAAGAAGTCAAACTTTATTAGTTCTTTGAGCAACAAAGTTGGATTTTTTTAGACTCTGAAAGTTTGTGCATGTTTGCTTTGTGCAGGTGATTCATGCAAATGATAAACCAGTGAAGGAGACTATACTAGACGACACAGATTGCCCTCTGCAGATCCTCAGAGACTGGACAAGCGATAAAGGTCAGCCACATATGCCGTTTCTTAAGCTTATTTTTGGACACATTTTGGAGCTTTTTGGAACGTCTTCACTATCTTTTAAAAGTTTGGGGATTTTTTTATTTGCGTTTTTTTTTATCTGCATTTATTTGATCAAAAGTACATTGAAAACCCATTCAATGCTTCTTTCTTTTACATGCCACATGCTTAAAACATTTAAATTAGTTTAATACAAAAGCCTCTCATTTACGCCATCTTATACTGCCCCCTGTTGACTTTAATGTGCTATTATGTCAATTTTACAGAGGCCTTGGTATTCCAGCTGAAAATGCGTCCTCCAGACTATGCTCCAAGAAAAGGACGTAAGCCCGACAACAGGATGGGACCGCCTCACGGATCCATTCCTCCCGAGAAACTGCCCTACCTGGTTGAACTGAGCCCAGGTGACACACACAAACATACACTATGACAGCAAATCCTCTTACCAGGAAATTTAGAGCAGAAACAGAGGCCTTTGTGAGTCATTGAATGCTAGCAGAGCTGTTCCTGGATCAGTCATGTTGGTCTAAGCCTGCTCTAGAGTTTCAATTGCACTGATGTGACAGCTGAGAAGAGCGGTCCACTGATTGCCCACTGACATGCATGAGTAGAGCTATGGCCAACAGATGAGTTCAGTGTCTGGACCTCTGTAGAGTCAGCTAGTGAGACCCCTTAAAATAGACCTTAGTTTCAGTCGAGTTGTTTTTTTAGAGTTGAAAATTCACATCATCTAGATCTGACCCTCACTAACGCTGTCTCTCAGTCTAACTGCTGCTTGCATACTGTTCCTCCCCCTACTACGGCCCACAACTAACCCTGTCACTGCATTTATAACCAACGCTTTTTAACTGAGCGTTAGGAGCAGAAACTCTCCTGATGTGTAATAACACTGTCTATACTGGAGGCAACCAGTGTCGCATTGCAACGACAAAAACTTAAGGCTGTCTACAATGAAATCATTAAAGCTTAACGTCACTTCTGAAAGTTCACTAACCAATCAATGATGACTACAGCAACAGTTATGTGGGTGACTTTGTGTTGTTTTACTAACAACAAAAAACTATTAATATAAAAACTGTACTTTGCATAAGTTATTTTATAATATAGAAACATATGGATTAAGTTGTTTTCACAAGCTTTATCTGTATTATATAGTTGTTATATTAAATTACTATATATAATTTTTTGTTTAATGATATAAACAATGTATTTTGTTTAAATATTATATTATAGTATATTTCATTATTTGATATTCATTTTGGCTATTTTTTATTTATTTATATACTATGTACTATGTATTTATATACTATTTTATGTATTATATAATATATTACTATGATATAATATTACATAATATTATAGTATATTATTAAATTATAATTTACTTTGTTTATATTATAAATATGTCATGTATTTTTAAATAAACATGTTTATTATTATGTTATGTTATTTATTTACTACAATATTGTTCAATTTGTATTATATTTTTAATAATTAAATGTTTTAGCAATTACGTCATGAGTTATATAACATATATGAGTCACACCAAATCAAATTATTACCAGGCAGTTCACTCATGTAAATAAAGTTATTTTAGATGGACTCAAAATATGGCTGGAGAAGCTGTCAATCCGCAAAAAAAGAAACGGCACATTCCTCAGCCAAATTGCTTCTGGTATTAACAGTTTTGTTGATTATAATGTGATAATTATGGTTTTGTCATGTTGCGTCATGCTGTTGTCCAGTGTAGAAGTGGTCTTGAGGATTTTCTGGGCCTTGACAATTAAGATTTGATTGATATATTCACTCATCTCTGGAGTGTGTGTCAGCTGACAGACTGACCACTTGCTTATGGCGCTTTTTTCTCTTTCTTGCTGCGTTTGGTACTCTTTGGCTTTTCCTCTCTCTGTATCTCTCGCTCTCGCTCTCTCTCTGGCGTGTGTCGGTGTGTGTCCCGCTGTTCTGTCTGCTCCTGGCTCCTGTGCATGCGTCCCGTCCTAGGGCGAGGGAGTCACTATGCCTACTACTACTGCCATCATGAAGGTAACACAAACCTGCCTGCACCTCCCACCCTCCCCCAGATCTACCTCTCTCTCACACACTCTGAAAGAGAAGATATAAAACACAAAAAAGATATAAAACTGACCTACTTGTTTTTTTTTGTGCCCTAAAAGTAATGTGTGCATTTATGTGGTCAAATTTTTGGCACTAGAGTGGATGGATGTGGTATTTTCTGGTAAAGCATTTAGTTTTATAGCACATTGTTCCTTCTATTGGTACAAAGTTCCCAGCATTGCCCACTCAGACTCTTATGTAATTGCTAAATATCTTAGGGTATTATTTACAATGCATTCATGGTAAGAGATCCTTGCCTAAAAGTCAACATGACATTAAAATTGACTCATCAGTGCATGTTATTCAAAAGAAAAAAGTATTTGTATTTTTAATTTAACAAAATGAAATCAAATAAAATGTCTGTCAAGCTATTGTCAATTGAACAAAATACATTTACCAAAATATATACAAAAATGGCTCTAACACCATTATTATGAGGATGTTTTGACATACACTCATGTTTTAAACCTTATTTCCTTTTACTTTTTGTGCTTTGCATTTTGCTTACAACTCCTAATTGCCAATCATCTCACTAATCTAAGAATTAAAATACAAAAACCTAACCATCCCATCATCATTTATAACCCAGGATTTCCTGTAAAAGTTCATTGTTTCTCAGCAAAGTTCCAAGAATTCTGATGAAGTTCCAATTTCCGATAATAGATGAGTCTTTGTTTTTGCACAGTATTCAAGGAATGTACTTGAAGATTATTAGTAAGGATATGTTATGAGGGTTGACTGGTCATTTAATGACCAACTAGTTGATTAGTGAGGTCAGTATTTATATACAGTTCCGTTTAAATATTTAGGGTCAGCAAGATTTTTTAAATATTTTTGAAAGAAGTCTCCGCAAGGATGCATTCATTTGATCAAAAATACAATAAAAACAGTAATATTGTGAAATATTATTACAGTTAAGAACTGTTTTCTATT